TGTAGATAATGCTGACAAAGCAGGATGCAAAGGGTGTTGAATTGCAAAATGATTAGGAATGTTATAAAATAAACTACATTTAAATTTTGCCGCTGGAATTTTGCTTGTATACTTGTATATGTAATCTTGTACATTTTACATGTACAAACAAATTTTCAAATATATTATATATTGTACTTCTCAATACGAATCCTAGCCTAGTATTAATTGTGATGTTTAAGCTCAAACAGGTGAAAAATGTTTTTTTAATTAGGAGGTCTGCTGTATTTTGATTCACCTGGAACTCTGTCCTTTGGATTCATAAGTAATGTTCAGATGGTGACTAATTAATTCTTTAGAAATTTGGAAATGAGAACAAAATTAATTATTTTTCTATCGGATTGGTAGATTCAACCCAATTTCGACAACTCAAATGGAATACAAATATTTTTTAACCCTTTTCACTATGAAAGTCATAATTTCACAGGATAGAAACTCTATATTTGGATTCTACATTTATTGAGTCGAGATAATATGTATAGTAAAAGTAAATCCATTTGAAGGTTTTATTTAGCATAGTTGTAACGATTCACATTAGTTTAAATATGCACCGTCTTGTTAGATAATTTGTTGATATTTTGAAGATAATTTCATGATGCGACCTTCATAGAAACCTTAGTCTCTATTTTCTTGCGAAAACTTTTCATCAGAAAAATCATCATAGACGAGAACTGGTAATCACTTAATGTCTGCTTCGGACTATAAGGTGGATGCATTCATTAAAATCTCCCAAACAAGCTCCCGGGGCATCTGGCGAGTCACTATCAATGTGCGTTGGCTGGCATTGTCCTGGTGGAACAAAATTCAGATAGTCCAATTGCTGATAGTACAGTTGCGAATTGAGAGATTGGGAAGCAGCTCATAGTAGATGCTTCTCTGTCAATCCCAAAAAACCATTCCAAAAGCTTCCTGGTTGGTTACCGTTTGCATCGGCTCAACGCGATTCGACCATGACCGACTTAGCTTGACATTAGCGTAAGTTACCCACTTTTTATTATCACTACACATCCGCTTCAGAAATATATCGATTTTGTTGCGGTTCTCTTTAGCCTTTATCGAAGAAAAACTGTAAAATATGGCGTATTTTCTCTTTATTGACTGAGCTTAAGCCACACTGAGTAACGCAATCACAAACCTGTCTGAGTAGTTTGTTTAGTACGAAATCTTATCTTGCCATATTGCAATATTACAATAGTTTGGTGAATCAGAAAGAATCGGCTGCGATGGCTAGAACCGGTCGTTAAATTGAATGCAGAGTTTTCAGTTCTGAAAGTATTCAATGCAGTACCAGCTGTTGGTAGCAGCGAAAGAAGTTGGTCTAAAAGAAGCAGACAGTAAGAAAAAGAACAAGTAAAGAAGCACATGGATTGGTGTCTTGAATTGGCAACTTCTTTCATGGTGTAGCGGCAAAGTCATATATAGATTTTACAACGATTAAGTTCTACACTGGTTTGGAGTTCAAAAAACAGTCACTGATGCATATTATATTAGGATGGCTTGCGGGATATATTTTTTCGAATCGCCAACAGGCTTACTTAATAAAAATTGTTTCTCTGTTTGTATCACTATGTTATTTTAAGTGACCTCCATCACTCATACTACTACTTGTACAACAAATATATTTATGTATGTAAATGCGAAAACTACCAAAAGTATTATCGCTTTCTGACTTCTTTCAGAGAATGCAGTCAAAAAACACAAAGACACTTCAGTATGTTGGTATCAGACTGGATCATCACACCTTTTCAAAAGCACACAGCTGATTACTGTTGACAATTCAAAAGGAGACAAAGAGTACACAAGAAAATGCTACCTGTTACAGTTATACGAAAGGAGTTTGAGGAGTGGAAAAGTGAAAAATGTAATCAATATGGTCGATCAGTCTGCATTATATTGTATAAGTAGGTAAGTATATAAAGTAGTTTATGAGTTTACAGACAGGCCTTACGATCACTTTCTTATTTCACGATAAACTAGTGAAAATGCAGATTGCTATCATTATACAGAATTTGTAGAGCTACTGCTATTTGAATATGTGTATAATATATTTGTATGCACATATTTATTTAGAAAATCAATGATTTTTAAATCTCACTTTCAATCTCCTACAATTGTATAGCAATAAGTAGCATATCTTTATGATCTCTCCTCCATTTCGAAAATTACTTTTACAACTTCCTGTTTTAGTGTGAATTTTTCGTGGAATTAGTTAAGTAGATATCTAGATTTCCGATTTTTGTTCTTACGCCCTTTAACACTTCCACTTCCCCAAGGCACAATTCATCATTCCGAGCGTTCACTCGCCCAAAATTAGCGGTTTTCAGTAATTGAACCACAGCCTGCATCAGCCCTTTGCTCAACCCTCGCATTTACTTACATGGATGCGTAGTACATACTTGTACATACACTTGCATTTTAATTTGTGCGTGCTCGCTGCAATTTTTTATAAATAAACGTAAAAAAAAATTATAAAGATATAATAATCAATCAAAAAATAATAATTTCTTTAAAAATATGTATGTATGAAAGTCAGTGCATGTAAGCGGACACCTAATGTCATCCTACATACATATATGTATATATACAAGTATTAAGTACCAGTCCTCATCATAATTACACACTGTCACCTCCTCCCTCCACCCCAACATAAATCACTGAGTGCAGCGCATTGTTGCTTAGTTGGCTTGCGTCTGTAGACCGATTTTTCGTTGTGCAGGAGTCGTTTTACAATTAAATTGACGTTGCTTATTGTTTTTGTAATTTGTATATACCCCTTTTATAAACTATGTATGTACATACATATGTTCACTTTCATACTTGAATGCAACTCTGCCTCTCTATGTAGTACTGAACGCCAGTTCGCCTGTATTTCAATCCAAAGTACGTACCATCTGTTTTGTGGGTTGTTGTTGTTGTAATATTTTTCTTTCGTTGACAGGCAAGTGTCCAATTAGCTGTAAAAACCTGTGAAATTAGTGTACTTGAAACAAAAATGCAGCGCCATATGTTTTTTTTTTCGGTTTATAAATGAAATGTTGAGTGTCGGTGGATTAACGGTTACCTTTTCACCGCCTATTCGCTTAACTAAGTTGTATACTAAGATTTATTGTTATTTTTACTCTGTAAGCTACTAAATTTCCTCCATTTTTACACCTTTTAGCTAAGGGCTTCGAAGGGCTTCCCTTGAAATCGCACTCAATTACATTATATGTATATTACCTGAAAAGTCTTTGGCTTGGCGGAACGATCATGCTGCTGCTTGTTAGTTATTGGGTTCCAAGCCTGTAGTCCTTTCAAGCACATTTGTGCCTAAATTCACCATAACAACTCGTTGCCTTGTTTATTTAATTAAACTTTCAAATAAAGTAAGGAGTTGATGTGATTTCCACATACCACAACTTATACAAACATAGCAGTTACATGCCGAAATTGAATTATGTAGAAGCTCACAAGCGTTTACAACTCTCCGGGGAGGTAATTATTTCAATCAATGAGCGATAAGTTGCTGACATATGTTGTTGCTTGAACCAAAAATTTCTTACCAGCCAACCCAACTACCCCGCAACGACAAAACCAAAAATATATAAACAGTGAATAGGAATAGCAGGAAGTTAGGTGGTTAGAAATTGGTGTAAACGCTTGGTGTTAAGCAACGAAATGAGCAAAATAAATCATAACACCAAAGTTTTTTTTTCGCAGCATGCTTGTTGCTTGTTGTTGCTTAATTTGAGGGTAAATTTCAGTAGCGTTACAAACACTGATAATTTCATTAGGCTCCTTTACGCCGGATGCTGCTGCAGCAGTGGGTATTTAGAGAGTAAAAAAAAGGGTATTTACAGGCACAATAGCGAAAAGCAGGAGCAGATGATGAAATGGTTGCAAGCGGTGCTGTGGGTTTTGCTTGGAATTTATTTGATTGTTATTTGACACCCAAATGAGGCAATTTTGCGTAAAATTCCGTAGTCTGATAAGGGAGGTTGAAGTGTAGACAGACAAAATGTGTACACGACACTTATCCTGGGCACTGTTTGTATGTGAGTAAATGTCCTTAAAAATATAATCGTGCATGTGTGCGTAAAGGGATTGTTTCAGCCAGTAACAGAAGACTGACACAAAAACTACACCAGAAGCTCCGCCTACTGTCGGCAAATGATTGTAGCAGCGGAATAGGTGGAAATGAAACATAAAAGGACTGGTCGGTAGTTTACGTATATAAAGTAAGCAACAAATGGCATAAGAAACTGGTTGAGCCAGAGAACTTAAAACTTCTAAGTTCTCTGGTTGAGCAGCATACGGATCGTTGTAATTATAGCTATGCAGTTTATGTAGGTCAAAAGTTTTTTTTCTGTTATATATTTAAAATGATTTGTGGTGCAAGAATTTATTCAAGTGTGGCCTGTTAAAGAAAATATCAGCTAAAATACCAATAGGCTTTTTTAACTCTCTATATGCGTTGATAATAAATATTAATAATTTTTTGACGCCTTACCATATGATTATTTGTCAGAGAAGTGTTTACATTTGGTATTCATGCCTTTCAAGTCATTTCGATAGTATTTGAGTTTTTGTTTGTTTATAGGAAACTTATCGATACTATTAAAATCAACTTTGAACAAACATTCAGAGTATATTTATATAAAAATAAGAAAAAAATATCGTTAGTCTGACTACAACAAAACGGTATTCTAGTTAACAGGTGCGTTTTTTTATAAAAATAACTTTATTTTGATATTAATAAATACGTTTTTATGACAGCTATATGCTATAGTGGTCCGATCTAAGTGGTTTAAAAAAATTTTGAGTAGATATCTCGTCAAATAAAAATGCATTCCATACAAGTATTGGAGTTTGATCAGTCAATTTGTATGACAGCTATATGCTATAGTAGTCCGATAAATATTTAAATAATATTCAAGCTCAGCATTTATATGTTTCTATTGTAAAATAAATATTGTAATTAATAAATAAATTTTCAACTAATATCAGACATAAAAAATGTATTGCAACACAAATACAAACTAAATTCACATCAAACATCTTTCACCAACTTCTTATTGCTATAGCTCACATGCACTAGACGGATACTACGCCCCACCGTGGCTACAGGACGCATAAAATTATTTATGGTTTCGGCAACAGGCGCCAGGATATCACGCACAGAGGTAAGAATATTGTAGATGAGTATAAATGGTGGCTGTAGAAAACCATTGAAGGCTACCGTTAATATTGGCTTAATTAAATAATCGGAAGTCATGTGTAGAAAGCCCACCGCCAACGTATTTACCAGCGAGACGAGTACGAAACGGTACGCTTGTAGCAGAAAAGTCACAATGAAAGTGACACCAATATGCAAACTGCCAAAGAACTCAGCCCAAAAGCGTGTGGCATAGTAGGTGGCACGTTCCGCCAGCACGACAGACAACAGTTGTGGATGACAATCGGTGGTACGCAAATATTCAGCACAACCATGCTCGAAAGGATAGACGCCTATGCGTGTTGGTGGCGGTGTGCCGTTTCTTTGTTGCTGTTGCTTAAAATCGTTCTTTGTTTGCCGCTGCTGTGGCGCAGCCGGCTCGGGAAAATCGTCAAAAATATTGCCACACTTGGAAGCTTTGGGTTTTGAAATATGCGGTCGTGCGGCACGCATATTATCAAGCGAATGGCGTAAACGTTGGAAAATCGTATTATCGCTATTGCCGTGACGTGCATGACATGTGCAATGGTTGGTGGACTTTTTGCTGGCACTTTTACGCTCAGCGAACAGTTTGCGCTTACTCTTCTTATCGCTGCATTTCAGCGTAGTTGCGGGTGTGCTTTTCGAGCGGTGTATGCGTCTCGACGCCGTTTTATATAGTTGAAATTCGATTTTTGAAGGCGTTGGATTACGTTTGCCCGGATGGCGAGTGGAAGCTTCACGTACGGCGTGCATCTCGTAGAGCAACTTGGACGGGTTATCGGTAGTTGTTTCCGTTTCGGCTTGTGTGTCGTTGGAGAATTTATTGTACTTGAGCTTGTGTCCATGATGATCGTGAAAGGGCAGCTGACCATTTTCCGTTTCCGTTGAAGAAAGTGATGATTGTAGCAGATTTTTGAGCGGCGACTGCAGTTTGGCTGTGACACCAACATGTTGCACCTCAATTAGATTTGTTTTAGAATTCGAGTTGCGCTCGTGTGGCGTATCGGACATTATTTCTTGCTGTTAATTTTCTTTTTGTGCAAGAAAAAATATAAAAAATATTTTGTTGTATGACTACTGTTTGACTGACGAACAGAACAGTGGTATTAATATGGCACAAGGTGCGTAAAATTGCTTTAAATTGAAAGTAAAAATATTTAATTTGCTTAGACTGAAACATTTAAAAAAAACGTAAAAACATTGACTTTAGACTGCACTGAAGTATAATGCTCTTTAAAAATAAAAAAAAGTTTTCCATACGTAAACTTGATTTTGATCGGATTGATCAGTTTGTATGGCAGCTATATACATATATATATGCTAAAGTAATCCTATCTGAACAATTTGTTCGGAGATTTAATATATTCTGTTCAGGGTATAACAATAACAAAAACTTTCAAATATTTATCAGTAAAGCATTTAAATTCAACGGACTATTAAAATCTTTCCTTGAATAAGGCATATCATAGCGCCATCTACAGTTTGCGGGCGCATGTGTGTTTGAGGAATTTAAGTGTTGTTAAAGAAAAGCGCATACGAACAGCTGTTAAGCTGATGAAAGTTGCCATAACAAAAACTATCGCATTAAAAAAATATTTTTGATTTTTCGGTTTTATGTCTTAAATGTTTATTATAATTATTATTATATAAATACAAATATATAAATATATTATTATATAAATGAAAACATATAAATTCATTATTATATATCAAAAGAACTTTTACATTTACTTTAAAATATATTATATAAATATGTGACTAAAATGACGTCAGTTCATTTGCCGTCAACTGCGCTTTCTCTGCTGATCCGGCAACAACAGTTTTATTCTAATCAGAAGTTGAAGTACGGAACTTATTTTTTTTACAGTTTAGTAATATTTTTTAATTTCATTCTAATTTCAACAATTTTCTTTACGCAATACATTTATATAAAGTAAACATTGGTGATATTTGTGACAAATTACAAAAAAGTCTGATAAAATCTGTACCCAAAGCACGGTACACTAAAAACGCACAAAACAGCGACAATAGTATAGCAAATAAGCAACAAAAAATAAAAAAAAGATATCGCACAAAAAATATACCATTTACATATATATACACGAGAATTAAAATACAAAATCATTGCATTTCATAGCACTAAATGTTATCGGCCGCTTGGAGAAACGTACAGCAGGGTGTTGTACGCAATCTGACCGCTACTTATTTTCGAGGTGTGTGCAGTGGCCCGTTTGCTGGTGCGAGTGCACTTGTACTTGCCACCAACCGGCAAAGTCCGGAATTTGTGGCGCTGCGACGAAATGACAACAAAAGTGATTGTTTTGAGCATAAACTGCTATAAAAAGACGAAATTAAAAAAAGTGTAATTCTAGCATTTTACTGAAGTTTACCATTTTTTTTCTCTCTTGCAGTACAAAAATTTTTTAAAGTTGGCATAAACAGGATGCATAGCTCTGTAGAGGATTTGAAGCTGAACACAATGCACATAAAAGTGTTGCCTGCGCTGCAGGACAATTTTATGTATTTGGTAAGTTTTCAAATGTATTATGTTAACAACAATAATTACTACGTTTTCATTTTAGATTATCGATAGCTCTACAAAAGAAGCAGCCATTGTTGATCCCGTCGATCCGGAGAGCGTGCTCGCTGCTGTAAGAGATGAAAATGTGCATCTCACTAAAGTTTTAACTACACACCATCATTGGGATCACGCCGGTGGCAATGAAAAGTTGGTAAAACTTTTTGGCAAACCTTTAACTGTTTATGGTGGCGACGAACGTATAGGTGCACTTACAAATAAAGTCACCCAGGATGATAAATTTGAAATTGGTAATCTTAAAGTGAGTTGCCTTTTCACGCCCTGTCACACCACAGGACATATCTGTTACTTCGTTGAATCGTCGAATGGTGATGACAGGGCAGTTTTCACTGGTGATACACTTTTCCAAGGTGGCTGTGGACGTTTCTTTGAAGGTACACCCGACCAAATGTACTCAGCGTTGTGCCAAAAATTGTCTTCTTTGCCGGAAGACACCAAAGTATTTTGTGGACACGAGTATACTTTACAGAATATGGCATATGCGCGTCATGTCGAACCTATGAATGAGCGAATTATGAAACGTATTGAATGGGCAAAGTTGCGACGAGCTACCAAAGCACCAACTGTACCGTCAACTATTGGCGAGGAGAAATCTTGGAATCCATTTATGCGTGTACATGAGCCTAATGTGCAAAAACATGCTGGCGAGCAAGATCCCATTAAGACAATGGGCAGTTTACGCAAGGAGAAGGATAATTTTAAAGCTTAAAGCTTATTGGTGGAGCGAAAAGAAAAATGGTGTTGGGTAGTATGTTAAATATTATGCATATTCTTTAAATATTTCCATAACTAAATATGTATATTTTATTGTTATTTTCGTTGTTTTTATGTATATGTTAATTCTGAAAAATGTGAATTTAAAATTTCCTATATTCTTCACTTGCCACAGAGCATATCAATTTATTCTATGTTTAATACGCTTTTGGAATGATATCGCAGCTGACATTTTTTTTCGATTTTTTATTATTGTTTTTGAAACTGTTGGAATTTCAGTTACAAAACATACCAAATTAACTCATGAATTTATGTACGTCAAAAATTGAAAAAACTATTTGTGATTTATGCCTGAAGATTGAAAATTGTAAATTTGCAATAAAATTTAGCTGAAATAAATGTGCTCACTATTTGGACGTGGCTTAGCCCATTATATATATAGCAAGGGTTGGTAAAATAACTTATTTTATTATAAATACAAGCATTCTTTTGGAAATAGTTTATTAAAAAATGTATAATACCCAGCGTTGCATGCACGTCGTTCGTGGTCCAATTGCAAATCAGCTAAACCACCACCCGCTGCATCCGAACCACACAGCAAAATTATAGATGTGTGTTGTGAAGGTATGGTAGTTAAGATAATACCGGCACGCAGCAATAACTATATGTATTTGGTAAAACATTTTGATTTCTTAAAATTCATACTTTCAACACACTTTTTTGTGCAGATTACTGATTTGCCCACCGGTTGTACGGCTGCAATTGATCTCTCCGATAACAAAATTCTCTTTGAAATACTTAAAAAGGAAAATTTAAAGCTTTCCTTTGTTTTTATAACACACCATCATGAGGATCATTCGGGCGGTACGCAAGAGTTGGCAGCTGCATGTCCCGATGTGAAAATATGCGCTGGTGATGAGCGCATCAAATCTGTTAATCATTGGGTTAAGGATTGTGAGCAATTACAATTGGGTGAGATGACTATGAATTGTATGCACACACCTTGCCACACCGTTGGTCATTATTGTTACTTTGTGGAGTGTGGTGCGGGTGGACCGCCAGCACTTTTTACTGGCGACACACTTTTTCAAGGTGGTTGTGGTGGCTTTGATGAGGGTACGCCTGATCAAATGTATACTATTGTAAAACGTTTCCTTGAATTACCTAAACAGACGCGCATCTTTGGTGGCCATGAGAATACAATTTTAAATCTCCGTTTTGCTCAATGTGTTGAACCAGAGAACTGTAGTATTGGCGCACGTTTGTGGTGGGCACAAAAGCAGCGTGAAAACAAATTACCAACGCCGCCTTCGATGCTGTGTGAGGAAAGAACGTTTAATCCATTTTTGCGAGTTGATCATCCGGATGTGCAGCATTACACCGGCGATACAGATCCGAGTTATGTATTGTTTTGTTTGCGCAAACAACGGGATGCCTTCAAGTAAAGGGTGCAACAGATGAAAAATAATGGTAAACAGTCCTGTGTCTATTATTATTAATTGGCGTTTTGGCATCATTGAAAGTATATGAATGTAAATACGTATTATTTAGTATATTTGAACGGTTTCATTATGTACTCAATTTATTACGTTTTGTATAATAAAAATGCTTTGATAATATAGAAATGCGAATTATTTATTTCGTTTTTGTTCATTTGTGTCTGACTGTGCTGCCGTTACAATTCGAGCATGAAATTTTCATTAAAAGAGCATTGTTTCAGAGAATGTAGATCTATATTGTGTGAACAAAAATTAAAATAATAAAAAGGAAATGAATATCATTTAATAAAAAAGGTTTATAAATATAAAAAAGATAATAAGAAATATCTGGGTCTAAATAACCGGAACAGACCCGGATTTTTAACCGGCGAAGAACTGTCAACTCGGCACCGATCCTGCAAATTACTTAACGAATGTTTTCTGCCGCTATTAAATTAAAAAAAACTAGTTTGGTTACTTTTATGAGGTCAATGACACTTTTATTTATATTTACTCAAGTCAGCAACCTTCGTTTACATTTGGGTTCAATGACCCTATTGTTTACATTTTGTGAGGTCATTGACCCCTTTGTTTACATTATGAGGTCAATGAAAAATTTGTTTACGTTTTGCCGGGGTCAATGACCCCTTTGTTTACATTTTATGAGGTTAATGACCCTTTTGTTTACATTTAGCCAAGTGAACCACCTTTGTTTACTTGAAACTTTTGATTACATTTTATGAGGTCAATGACCACTTTGTGTTCATTGTGAGATCAGTAACCCCTTTGTTTACATTTTGCCGGGGTCAATGACTTCTTTATTTACATATTGTGAGGTTAATGACCCTTTTGTTTACATTTAGCCAAGTCAACAACCTTTATTTACATTTGATGTCAATGATTCTCTGCTTCTTGTGAGGTCCCTCATGACTTTTAAATCACATCACATCAAGGTACGAGCGTCGCCTAATCATTGGCCAGGCACGGTGTCTGCTTTACTTATATAGAGCCAGCTGGCAGCCAGCTTCCCCTGAAGTCACCTGGTGACTTCAAAATCAAATAACATTGAGGCACGACAGTCACCTAAGCACTGGGCAGGCACGGTGGCTGCTTTACTTATATAGAGCCAGCTGGCAGCCAGCATCCCGTGAGGTCCCCTCATGATTTTTAAATCACATCACATCGAGGCACGAGCGTCACCTAAGTACTGGGCAGGCACTGTGCTTGCTTTACTTATATAGAACCAGCTGGGAGCCAGCCTCCCGTGAGGTCACCTCAAGATTTTTAAATCACATCGAGGCACGAGCGTCACCTAAGCACTGGGCAAGCACTGTGCTTGCTTTACTTATATAGAACCAGCTGGCAGCCAGCCTCCCGTGAGGTCACCTCAAGATTTTTAAATCACATCACATCGAGGCACGAGCGTCACCTAAGCACTGGATAGGCACTGTGCTTGCTTTACTTATATAGAACCAGTTGGCAGCCAGCCTACCGTGAGGTCACCTCAAGATTTTTAAATCACATCACATCGAGGCACGAGCGTCACCTAAGCACTGGGCAGGCACGGTGGCTGCTTTACTTATATAGAGCCAGCTGGCAGCCAGCATCCCGTGAGGTCCCCTCATGATTTTTAAATCACATCACATCGCGGCGCAAGAGTCACCTTGGCATTGGCCAGGCACGGTGACGGCTTTACTTATATAGAGCCAGCTGGCAGCCAGCCTACCGTGAGGTCACCTCATGATTTTTAAATCCCATCACATCGAGGCATGAGCGTCACCTAAGCACTGGGCAGGCACTGTGCTTGCTTTACTTATATAGAACCAGCTGGCAGCCAGCCTCCCGTGAGGTCACCCCATGATTTTTAAATCCCATCACATCGAGGTACGAGCGTCAACTAAGCACTGGACAGGCACTGTGCTTGCTTTACTTATATAGAACCAGTTGGCAGTCAGCCTCCCGTAAGGTCACCTCATGATTTTTAAATCACATCACATCAAGGCGCAAGAGTCACCTTGGTACTGGCCAGGTACGGTGCCTGTGTTACTTATATAGAGCCAGCTGGCAGCCAGTATCCCGTGAGGTCCCCTCAAGATTTTTAAATCACATCACATCGAGGCACGAGTGTCACCTTAGCACTGCCCAGAAACGGTGCCTGCTTTTCTCTTATAGAGCCAGCTTCCAGTAAGATTACCTCGTCACTTATAAATTATGTGTCACATCAAACCTATTGTTGATGTTGTTGTAGAGGCAGAAAACATTCCTGAAGTAATTTCGTAAACCAAAAAAAAAAAAACTTTCAACTCGTTACTTCACTCATGATAATTCTTATAATAAATATATAACCGTATATTTAACTAGATTTACTGTTAGGTGAACAAAACTATTATACTCTGTAGCAACCTGTTGCATTAGTATAAAAATCTTTTAAAGCTCCTCAAGTTGCAAAGTTAAAAATAATTCTTAATGTAAACTTTTTAAACTGACAGTAATACAAGTATTGACCGAAAATTACTCGTGTTATTGTGAAAAAAGCATGGGATGTTTTGTGCCATATTTTTCGTGTATCGGGGGTTTGCCTATATGTACTATATACCATCGGATTACGCATGCTTGCTTGTACTAAATTGAATTCTGCACTGAGAAATTAGGATATTGGTCCTGAGGTGGGTGTTATATCTAATTTAGGGGAATTTCTATAGTCTACGTATAAACAGATGTTTTCGCTCATGAAGCATTTTTATTGCTAAACTCAAAAAAATTGTAGACATAATCTGAAAGTAAGACTAAATACTAAAGAGGAGTAAAATTATGTTCTTGAATTAAAATAATTAAACCCGTAATAAAAGTGAAGAAGAGCAACGCAGTATCAACAGTAGAATAGACAAGCAAAAAACTATAATTTTACATAGAAACTAAAAAATAATAATAATAAAATATACAAACATTCATACAGTACGTGCAAACGCGAATATGAAGAACATTCAGAATATCGGTTGACAATGAAAAAATGTGCAAGTGAAAGCACTGAAGAAGAAATCCATATTCAACCATATTCACAGTCTGTAAATGATGTGAACCAAGAAATTGCATTGCTAGAGCACGCGAAAAACATAAGTGACTGTGACGCCGTTATAAGTGCTATTATGCAGTAATAACAGAAAAAATAAGCAAGCAAAAAAATTGCAACAATTCCATAAAGAATAAGGGTACACAGGAGTAGCGCTAGCTTACATTTATATAAATATTGTATAATATGTATTTATGTTATTTCTTATGTTTTTGTATGGATAAAGTAGTGTATCTTGAAGAAATATGAAACTTTAGCATTGCTGCGGAAAATATGTTAACAACACTATCTGAGAATGTACATATATATTTTTGAGTTATAACTATAGCCGATGTAGCCACCAAGACGCCAACAGGCAACAAAAATTCTAATGCACTAAAATTCCAGTACAAAAACCATTATATTTTCATGATGATTCACTGTACCTACTGTGTAACCAAAACATGCATACGTTGAACAGTGTTGGAATTGTTAAAGAACTAAAACGAAATTTCATGTCATGTGTCAAAACCTATCATAACCGTTATATCCACTTATAAGTCATATGAACCGCGATTTTTTGTGTTTTTTTTAAGGAATAATTTTTTTAATAAATAAATAAAAATAAAGTACATTTACAAAATTTAATGTGGTTTACTAATTAGATTTATTTTGAAATTTCATTTCGAAAAATTATGGATTACCTGATGTCATAGCAGAACTCGGTAAGACCCCCGAAAAAAGTGGCTGGCAGTGAGCCAGATTTTACTGTTTAAAATTATATCAAATGTAAAACAAAAAAAAATTTATATTTACAATAAAAAAGGATTTTTTTGTGAAATATTTTACATTTTAGGGTGACTTAAAAATCAAAATTTTGCAATAATATTAGATTTTTTGAAGTTCACTTTTTTCATGTTTGCTCTCCCTTAATTTTGAACCTACTTATTTACTCGTACTAATCCAATCTTTCCTCAACAAGCCAGCTTAGTGATTATTTCTGTGTTCTGTTTTGGGCTTTATCAACCCTTTCGATTTTTTTTAACATCTGATCTGTGATAACGAATATTTCTAAACTCTCTTTTGGATTTTATCAACCCTTTCGATCCATTTTAAAGTCTGGTCTCTCAGCTGCCAGCACTACAGCAGCTTTCAGTGTTGTTAGACTTTATGACGCTGTTTTTCAGATGTCTCTCCCCACTCTTACCACAAAGTCAGTCTTAAAAATCACTCTTTTCAAGTTGCAATGTTTTCAGTTTTTCAACTTCTTAAACTTTCCAGCACTGTTTGCCACCAGTGTTTTCCTACTGGCAAAGTGCATTACACAGCACAACAGCATTCGAGAGCGTTTGAATGAAGTTATTGAAGCAATTGTGTCATTCGCTGTTGTTATTGTGGTTGTTTTTAAACATATATACATTTCTTGTGCTGCAATTGAGGACGAAAGGACAAACGTCGAAATTGTTGAAATTTAATTTTTTGCTATCGCGTTTTGTCTGATTTACTTACTTACTTAGCAAAGAACGAAAAAATTTATTGCATTTCCCGGTCTTATGGTCAAAAAAAAAACAAAGTGTGCAAAGGCACTGCAATCCACTGGATAGAGCAAAACGAGAGCGTAAAATATTGCAGTATTATCACCACATTGCAATGCATAAAGGAAAAATGAAGGGAATAAAAAATGTCTGGAAAACAGCAATGCAAAGATAAACTCGAGCTCAAGAGTTGAGAAAAACAATACAGCAAATCTAGCGTACCAACCGCAGTTTCAGTCATCATAGAAATTGAGTAGTAAAATCAGAAGTGGGATATGTATATATAATATATATAAGTACAGTATCCTGCTAGTACATACACCCTTGCCAACCTAGTAAAGTGCATGGGTATGATTTTTGTTGTTTGCGGTATTTTGTCCTTCAACTTTTGTCCAGATGCTTGAATTACTGTAGTAGCTGCAAACAACAATTCAATTGTAGATGGACAATCGACGCCAAAGACAAGATTGCTTACAACGCTTCACCACTGTCACAACAGTTGGTTACCGAACATCGCTCAAAATTCCCGCACAAACAAAGTTAAGTTGAAGCATAGTTTGATGCGCTAGCGGTACGGACGTAGAGCTCAGAAGGAAGTACGTGAGGCTGAGCAGTTCAGCAAACGTTCAAGCATGGCCGAACAATGGGCGGTAGTCCGGTGAAGTTGTTTTTGTAATATGACAGTTGTTCCAGTTGGTCAGCTGAAGATGTGGTCAATCGAAAGCAAAGTTGAAGATAAAATGCTCAATGATACTTGGAATTTGAAACGAATTGTGACGAAGAGCATAAAAATAGGTAACGGAAATAAAAAAACGTAAAGCATTTCAGCAGTCTGAAGGAAGCAAAAGTAGCTAGCAAGATGTTTTCTGGAAAATCTGCAGGAAATCTAAATTTATTTTTAATAAAGTAATGGCGTGAACAAGGCAACGTCAATAATGGTAACAATATATTTTTGAGAAAAAATAAACGTTTAACTCTTTGCAACTATTACATAAGGTTTGAGTTCTTTAGAAATTTAATTTTTGAGCACTATTACTTCTATAAAAAGACGGCAGCCGTTCGAAACGCCAGAAACCTCAAACCAGATAACTTTATTTAAAAATTTTTTACGGCAGGTTTCGTAAAAACTTAAACTCTTTACAGAATCAGCTTCCCAACAATCGTCTTTGTAATTGTTTTTTAAACGTTGATTCTATTTTCACACTATTTTGTTCCAGTTGCTAGTTCTCGCAAGAGCAAATTACGTTGCAACTCTGAATAAAGACAAACTCTTTTTACAGTTCAAAAGAGTTTTTTTCCACTTGGTTGTAAAGGTATTGCATCCATGCTTCCAGAGTAACTGAAATAAGATTCAATTGCTGAGTTTTATTCAAGAAATTTATCTGAAACAAATGCTCCAAGTGGTTTAAATTTTCGATACCAATATTTCAAACTACTTGCCAAACACTTCGAGAACCCCTTCTAATGCTTTTATCAACAACGTTTCTTCAACCAACAATGTTCAAAAGTTTTACATTTCGTTTTCAGTCGAAAAAACCGCGAAACCTATAGAACTAAGGTGAAAAGTAATAGTAGTCAAAGATTATAAATGATACAACTTAAGCAAATAATTACTGGCTACTATTATCAGAAATGTAAAACGGCTGTAGTCGGTGGCCATAACCTCAAAACGCCAAGCTGTGCAAACTCAGTTAATTTTTTGTTTACTTTAAAGTTGATTACCGTTATAAGTTCCAATGTCACACCATCTATATCGAGTACGAGTATAGTTCATGATTAATTCCGATTGACATACTATCAACTCAGTTCTTTATTAACGATTTTCGCTAGACAACTACAAAGCGCTGCATGAGAAGTTAACGAAAAAACCGGAAAAAAAATATCAAAGCAAAGCAATTGACGCGCGACTCTAGCCCGTCAAATACATTCAAGTGACTGCAGCCAATATGCGAGCAACAAAAAACAGAGAGGACCTTGATGGAAGGCAGTAAACAAGAGTAGAAAGCAAGTGCTAAATATTGAGATTCTTTCCATTTTTCGTCGCGTCAACAAGATGGGCAATGAACGTTTTATTAACGAAACCTTCTGCGCATATATACGAGAAAACTAAAATGCGTTTGACAAAGAAAATGAAAAACATTGATTAGCACAGGCGCAGCATAAGCTTAGCGTTTACCGAGTGACGTTCGATTGCTGTTAGTAATAAATTTCCATTTGATTCAGTAAAAATTTTTGCGATTTCGTCTTCTTTCAGTTTATTTTTCACAATTATTAAAGGTTAATAACAAGACTATACACGTCGTTGGCTCTCTGTTTCTTATGTTTTCAGTGGCATAATTGCTCTAGAATTTTTATTTTACAATGGCAATGCTCCTGCATCATATTATAGATGGTCTCAATTTCATGCAAGAAATTCTCTAACATCTCTGGACGTCGAAAGATATCTGGATCTACGGCCACATTGTTATCTCTCAAGATACTCCAACGCTTCATGCTGTTTACAATATCCTCACAGAAATCGGTCTTCTTTTCCACTGTAGATGACTTGCGTTGCGCTATTTTTGATTTAGCAGCGGCTAGTGATGTGAAAGAGTGGTAGAATGCTTAGGCATGTTGCAATACTTAAGCTTATTGGGTTTAAATTTTTTTGTGTAAAGGCGTGTGTGTATTATTCTCTTTTAAATGGTGGTTGTCTATAGTCTCTAGATTAAAACTCTTAAAACATATGTATATAACAAATAGACGAACCTCAAACGGAAGGTTTAACGCATCTCTTGGACTTGGTTGAGATCCAATCACATGAAATTCTTTGCGCGACAGATATTGGCTTGGAGAATTGAATCGGAAGAGTCAACACATCGATAAGACTATGATAAGATCCTATGAAATGAAATTTTTTCTACGAAAAATACTGGCTTATAGTATCGAATCGAAGTAGTCAACGGATCTCTTGGACTATGATAAGAACCAATAATATAAAAATATCTGTGTTCGGTAAAATAGTTAGATCATACAATATTCAAAGTATACTAAAGTACTATTGCTCTATGCGTTGTAGGCCGATGGGACTCTATAAAGTGAAGCTGTTCTAGACTTCAGATTGATCGCAGCGGTTTTCGAATGGCAGAAAAATCAGATCAGCAGATCAGAGCTTTGACTAAGGGGGCGTTAATAGTTAAACACAAAACGTAATCATAATTTTGGATTTCGAAAGTCCATTAAGATTTGAACATATTCAGAGTAAACGTGCGGTCTTTCTCACGGTTTCGTCCACGTATTTCTTTTAAACGAAGGCAACTTTTTTTGTTTCTCCTCTTATTGTTTTGATACTCACCCACGGCTTTCTTCTCTTTTCGTTCAACAGATCGGCGTCTTTTTTTCACCGCTCGATGCTTGTCGCGTAATTGAGCACTAGCGGCTTGTTCATAAATATTTAAGATATTGAACATACGACGATCCACATCCTTAGATTTTTCCAAAATTTCGCATTTCGGATCGCAATGACCATGTACATTTGGTCCTGGATATGGTATCAAGGTAGTGTAAGACGAATGCTCAAACTTCTTGCGCGCAATATTTGTTTGATTTTCCAGCTTGGCACGCAACTGGCGCACATATTTATTATGCTGCTTGAAGGACATGGCTGCTAAGAGTTTTTCCACTTTCGAGAGACAGCTGGAAATGCACAACAGAAATTTAATTGGCGTAATGCTCTATCATCGGATTATAGAAATTAAACTCACTGTGAGTTTCTTAATGAGTAAACACCGGGTATTTGATAGGTGCGCATCATATGGTGCAGCTTGAAGGCCACACATTGCAGCAGCTCTTCGGCGGTTAAAACTTGCGTCTTTAATAATTGACTGTGATCGTGTATGTATTGACGTGTGTACCAACCGCGCCACAGCGCTTGTATCTTCTGCGCTTGCCGGAAATAGTATTTTTCGACTACCTCTTGAGTTTCCTCCTCCAACTTGCGGTATGTATTATGCTTCCTGTAGAATTTCCGCCATTCATATTGTATGCGTATGGCCGCGGTACGTTTGCGTTGATAGATACGCTGATAATACCAACGGCGCAGGTATTTTTGTATTATACGTGCCGCCTTAAATTGCAGATAGTCTAGTCGTAGTAGCGATGTGCTGTATGGAATCAGTTTGAGCCTAGTTTTAAAGATTTTATGGCGGTAAAAGAATCCTTACCGTGATAACTGCATTTTAGATTTCTGTTTAGTATCTGAAGCCGACCACATTTCCTCATACCTGTATGAAAATTTAGTAATAGTAATATTTAATATTAAAACATCGCATGATCTCCTAAACTTTTGAAATTAGAAGTTTAGCCCTGAAGCTAATTCTTTCCAAATTTATTACAAGATATGTAAGCTTTGCTCGAAAAAATTATTTTTTTGGTTTGGTAGTTCAACTGTTCTAATTTATTCTAAAGAGCTTTTCTCTTGTAGTTATTAATAAAGCTTTCAATATTTCATGAAACTTTTAAAAATCTTTTTTGGACCAAACCTTTGTAAATGTATTTTGTGAGCAATATATCGACAGTGTAAGCTAAATGTAGTACAAGCTTCAGAAAACTTAAGAACTATGAAAGCTTATAAGATCTTACCTGTTTGTAGATTAAGTATTATTTCATTTATTCTTTGCCCAAAAATGGTTATAAAATGTAGTCAAATAATACTCCAAATTCGTTCCCGGAATTTTGTAAAATATTAAGAATTCGGCTTGAATCACATTTAAAAGCTTCCTAAATGCTAAAACGCTTTACACGATTTGTAAATTTTTATATGGCTTGTATGATAAAGATAGGCAGTTTTAGCATCAAGAAAATTATGAAATGGTATTAAATTACTTTTCGTGAGTGACAAAGCTTAAATTAAAGCTTTTCGATTTTGTATTAAATTTAAAAGATGTTACGAGATGTTAGATAAGATCGTAATATACAATGCTCTCTAGATTCTTTTTTAAAGCTACGTAAGTCAATTAAAACACAGAGTAAAGCTTTTGAGCTTTCGTAGTACATAAAGCTTCATAATTTACGATGTTTGCTGAATTTAGCTAATTATTTCTGAACTCACTTAATTTTTTAATGTTCTTACAATGTGAATTTTGTAAAACTTGTCGTACTAAATCTCAATCTCTTATGTCTGATTCATATAGAACTTTTGCTTCGCTTTGCGTCAGACATTTGTTTTGTAAAAAAAAAGTTTGATGTATGCGTACGTTCACATCGAAGCGAAACGCAGCAAGGTGAAGCAAAATGTTGGTCAACTCTCATCTCCTTACGCTTTACCAAGCAACAGTAGCCAATTTTTTTAGAGAGAAACACTGAAAGCAAAGCATTCATTCTGGCATACCCATTACTTTCTTCGTTTCGTTGTTAAAGTATGAATTGTTACGCAAAGTGTGGAAAGTTGTATGTGAATAGACCATTAAGCTGTTAGACAGTTCCACTGACAACTCTTTCGCGAGTACTAAATTCAAAAACTCACCAGCCCTGAAAATCCTCCTGCGAGAAAAACATATGTTTTGAATCGTAAATGCTCTCCAATGTACGTAGTGGTATGCCCGATTCAACGTCCTTAACCTCGTGGCTAATCGGCTTTTTGTGAGATTGACGCGTCGATCGCTTCGTAGAGTTCATCTTGCTTGTAGAAGTCTCGTTTATTTAGGAAAGTAATATGAATTTTAAACGTTTTAAAAAATATGTCTCGTTGCTGAAGTAAATTTAATTTGTTTTATGACTGACAAACTTGTTCAACAGACTTTTTGTTGAGTATTAGAAACTTTTTAGAATTAATTTTCAAGCACTGGGTGTTCTACAGCTTAGCAGTTGGAATCGAATACTTACGTTTTTATATTTTTAATATTCTTTCAGAATAACAAAACTGTAATATTCGTTTGTTTTTCAATTTTTGCTAATATTTTATTTTATTTTTTTAATAATCTTTATACATGAACAGTTACATATTAGGCGCCAAAAACAGTTATTTTTTCAAATATTTTAATCTTTTTTATAATGAAAACATTTAACTGCTCTGGTTCTGGTTAATACATATGTACATACATAAATTATTCATCTTAAGTTTAGGTACTTGAACTTACTTTTATGAAATGAGAGTACAAAAATTTAGAGAGAGTGAAAGTAAATGAGAATTTTGTAGACTTAAAATTATAATACAATAAACATAAATATTTCTAAAATTACAAATGTAACTTAACGCATTTGTTAACTAAAAATTTAACCAATATACATAAAAGGGAAATTACTAATGCTAATTGCTTTGAACAAAATGAATTTCAAAGAAAATTATATGAATAAATTGCGAAATTTTAATAACATAATTTCGGTATGAAGTAAAAAATAGTTTAGTCAATAAATTATTTGAGTGCGTGTATTTTAAATTTATATTTTTAGTTGCTTATTAAAAAAAATAAACAAAAGCGTTATAAAAAAATTATAATTTTGTGGTGTTGAAATTTTAAAATTAAATTTTAATATTTCCTTGACTTTGTCTTATTGTGGTTTTCTAACGAAAAACATTTGTTTCTAAATTTTTGGTTTTTTGTAATTTAAAAATATTTGATTAAATTAGGTCGGATCGGTAAACATTTATTCTCGTTTTAGCAATTTTTGGTTAATATTTCCAAAAAAATTTGTATAGACATTTTCATCTATAGAATATTTTGTATGATGCTTATCATATTTTTATTGTAATTGTGCGTTCAATAATGTTTTTTAAATTTATTTTCAATTAAAACATTTTTAAAAATAATGAAATATATACAAGTAAATCAAAAATAAGTTTTCGAAAATTCTTAAATTATTTCATGTATAGAAAATAATTGGTTAAAAAATTTGAACGCTGCTTTTGAATTTTTTTTTATCAAAGAACTATTTTACTTAAAATTTTTGTTTAAAATTTTTTTTTTGATACATTCTTTTTTCGAATATAGTTTTTTAACAAAAAGGTTTTTGGTTCTCAAAAAAATCGTTTTCGTATATTTTTGGTTTTCAAAATAATTTTTTGTAAAAAAAAATTTTAGAAATTATGTTGGAAAAGTTGTATATTCTTTTTTGGAACTTGTGGAATTTTCTTTTCAAATTTGTTACCTTCTTTATTTTTTTTTTTTATTTAACAAATTTTTGGTTTTTTAAAAAACCTGTTTTCGATACTTTTTCCAAACAAATTTTTGAGAAATAAATTTTGTAAATTTGCTGGTGGTTTTTTTTCGTTTTCGTTTAATACATTTTTTTTCGTGTTTGGAATTTTTTTAAAAATATTTCTAATTATATTTTTATCGTACTTCTATTAGACTTCCGCTAAGTGCTGAAAGTGTTTTGTTAGGAATTTTGTTTTTGTTGTGGGTAGTTCTTTTTCAGTTTTGAAATCGTGTTTGTGTATTATTTTTCGTACAATACATTATTGCTTGCATTTTTATAATAAATTTGCTTTACAATTTATGTAAATGCGATGAATTGTTGTTGTCCATATAATTACTTGTGTAATAAATACTTTGCGGTTAAAAATGTTTTTTAAATTGTAAAAATAAGAAATAAAATGTCTGTGTTTTTAATGCTATATTTTTTAATACTAACTTTCCTCTGCCAAAAGTTATATAAAAAAAAATTTTACAATATTAAATTTAAAAGCACTTAAATTTTATATTTTTACTATGGCCAATGTTATAAGCACAGTCGGTGGAAAAATTTGAAATTTCGTTTTTTTAAAACAAAAAATTTTTATATTTTAAAAATTGTAATTAAAAAAGTTTAAATAACAGCATTTAGCAATTAAAAGCGCTTACAGTTTGCACATTATTATTTTTTACTTTAATAGTAGAGCCCAAACTTTTTTTTTTAAATGTCTTAAAATAAAAAAAAATAATTTAATTTAATATAATTTAAAATTTAAATTTAAAATTTATTTATAATTTATCGTATAATTTTCTTACAATTTCAATTTCATAAAATTATATATTTGTTAGTTTGTAATTACATTTTTAAAACTCTTTAAGTTAGTCAATTCTTAAAATATTTATAAAAAATTTGGTCGAAACTTGTTGATCTTTTAAAAAAATATGTTAAAATTCCAACAATGCTTGGAATAGCTTAAAAAATTTATTTAAAAAAATTAGTTTGTTCAATTTGAAAATTTTCACACAAGCACACATACATACACATATACAAATGGCTCTAGGTTTTCCCTAGTATGCATGCGTGTTGCGTTGCCTGCTTAAAAACGAAACCGTTTCTGTCTGGAACATTGTCCTATCACATTTCATATACATACATACATACCTATGCAGTTATATATTTTAAATTAAAAATATATTATATTACATAATCTGTAAATTATAGCTATGTCAATAAAAATAAATCAGTTTAATTGCAAATGTCTTCTGATTCGTGTGTGTCTATGTGTGTGTGTGTGCATAATTAATGTAGGCGTTTTTTCGATGAAAAACAAAAAAAAATTCTATAAAAAGATACAAAAAGCAATAACAAAACGCGCTGCAGAAAAACAAGACTAAATTGAATTGACACGCATTTCGTATCAGGAAATGAAAAATAAAATCAAAAGCAACAAAAAAAAAACAATGAGTTTGTACACATTGATTTTAATGCGATTTTAATTGCCAATAAAGATATTATTACACAATTGCCAATTACGTTAAATAATGCGACTGTACACAAAAAAAAAATATTAATAAATAAATGAAAATAAATTAATAATTAATATTTGTGTGAGAATTTGCTTTTTTTGCGCTGATTTGTGGCACACGTAAACGCCTACAAAATTTATTATTTAAATTATCTCTGCCAATTGCTGATTTTTTCGCACTTTTTTCGGTACATTTCAATATAATGCACATATGAATTTTAATAGTAGAATTTGTTTAAAAGAAATTTAAAATAATAATTTACAATAGTGAAGTGTTTAATTTCTAAGTAAATAAAATATTAAATTAAGATTTAAAATGAGAATTATAATTTTGTTTTTTATAGTTGTAATTTTTTTTTCCAATAATTGCTGGCGGTTTTAGTGACACTTTCGTAGTTTTAAGGGTTTATTTTTTGCTGAGATTGTAGTGTCACTTATCTCAAGTGAATATATACATTTACTGGCTTAAAATATTGTATATATACATATACATAAATGTCACTAATACAAAGGCTTAGAGGTTTTAAGTCGCTTCTGAACAGGAAAGTCAGCTGCTAAGTTTTTTATAACGAACATAATAAAACTTTTTGTATTAATGAACTTCATCAGGAGCACCTGGTGGTTCAGAGAGGACATAATGAAGTGAGATTTGCTCCTAAATTTTCTCCAGGACCGTTTTTGGTTGACGTTGAATGGCAATGTTTTTGGTTTCTGGGCAATCGAAACAGTGCTCACTTGACGGTCTGACTGGACGATTTAAATTACTTTTATCGACATTGTCGACGATTGCGCTTACAGAATGTGGTGCGTCTTAAACGCAAAAGAATCTAGGAAGAAGCACCCTTATTTTAATTTTTCATTATTTTTTAACAAACCATACCGTAGAAACAAAATATCTATGATTTGTTTGAATATGAACCCATAAGAAAGGAATTTCATATTGACATCACACTTTGTTTTGAATATAAAGCAGATCTAAACTTTAGTATGACAACATATTTAGCTAAATTATCGTTATACTTAATATCATATATTCATAAAAAACCAGTCAGGTTTGGGAGTTTGCTAAACAAAGCAGCGAAATTCTGGTGCCTGACTTTGCTAAATTTACCATTTGGCTATTGCCTAATTTTATTTTCTTATCTCTAAAATATCCAATATTTTCAAAACTTTAGGGGTTCCTTAGAATGCAACTCACTTTAATTTAACAGCGATTAACCCCAAAACTAAAAAGAAATGTCACCTGCACTACAGCATTTTAAACATAAACTTGTCTAAGTTTTTAACTACATCAACGTATGTAAGTAAGTTTCTAAAAACATGTGCCGTCTGCTGAGAATTATGTGCAGCAACTTCTTACATTTAATCCCGTTTTATTTCCTACTTCACCTCCCGTCCGCCCGCCATTTATGCCATAGACGAATGCGACGTACTTGAGATGTGACTCAAACTGGTCGCTTCCGAGCTTGGCACCGTCCGATAATGATTTTTGAGCCTCTCGCTACGTGATGGCATACACAATTTCCACACCGCCAGCGCGCAAATGACAGTGAAAGCGACAAATGCACTTGCGCTAATGTAACGCACCTCGGGACGTGTGAAGAACTGTCGTACACTTGGCTGAGAAACGGTGGGTTGTGGTATGGGCGGTGAGGGTGCCGATGTTGAGAATGTATACCAATAAACGACAGTGGAAACGGTTTGCGTGGCGGCGGTGCTGGAGTATGGTGAATTTGTGGTGAAAGTGGTAGATGCCTGTGGACTTACGGTGGTGGAATGGGGTGCGCTGGTTGAGGAACTGTAAAGTTGTGTAGAGGTTGTGTCAACGGATACCAAAGGTGTACTTGAGATGGTTGTAGTTGAATCCGCTGAGGTGGTGCTTGAAAATGTGGTTGTGGAGCTAGTGGAATCAATTTCTGTTGTTGATTCAGTTGGCTTGAAGTTGGTGATCGTTGTAGACACGGTCTTACCAGTAGCGATCGGTATTTCTTGTGAAGTTTCTGTGGATGTTGCAGCATCATTATAAATACCAGAAACCATAGTCGAAGCGTTGTCGCCCAAGGAAGCACTTGTTACCGCACTGAACTCCTTGCTATACTCTGTACTGTTTGACGTTTCCATTGTAGAAGTTTCAGTAGAAACTGTTTCACTATTGTTGTTCACAGAAAAAGTTGTTGATGTTGGTTCGGCAGTTGATGTCGATTCGGGAGTTGATGAAGAAGTGGATGTAGTTGTATCAGACTGTGGTTCTAACGTAGACTGCGTTGTATTTTCGTCTGCTTTCTCTAGAATCTCATGTGTAGATGTACTACTCTCCTCAGTGGATGTGTAGCTCTTGGGGCCGAAGTAAACCTCAGATGCAATATCATCAATACTCCTTGTGGTGGTTGTGGTCTCAGCAGTACTCGTCGACACATCAGTGCTAGATACGTCAGTGGTTGTACTGGAAGATTGCTCCGTATGCACTTCCGTACTCGCTGACTGATTTTGGAGAGCCACCTGCGTTGTCGAAGATTCTGAGGAAGTCTCTAAGGAAGTTAAAGTGGAAGTGGCTACCGCAGGAGCTATCGTAGAAGCTGTAGTTGTACTGTTTTCAAATGTTTCAGACGCAGTTTTTGTGGTTGTAGATTCACCTTGCAGATTTTTATCAACTTGGCTAGATATACTTTTGTCTGTTGAGTTTTCATGGACAACCAATATATTTTCTACGCCCACTGGACACTGTGGACAACATTGTCCATGTATTTTTACTGGATTGCTGCAAGTGGTTGGCATACATAAACTTCCCACACATTCTCGCTCACCATTTTCACAATGACATTTGGTGCACCAATCGTTCTCATACCAATCGCTGCCATGCAACATGGGCTCATTCGAATCGGTCGCGTAACAGCTGCGTTGTGTCTCAATCTCACCCATCTCGTTCATGGGGCACTCGTTGTGGCAAAGTTCAGGTCCGTTTTCACCATGGCAGCTGCAACGTGTGCACGCATCAAGCCAGTAGGGCTGGACATCAGCATTGCCACATTCCCTTTTCGGAGCGCAGGTGTAAGTTGGACAACAGTCACCTGGTACACCTTTAGCTTCGTGCAATCTTACGGCGACTTTACCGCGCGGACACTGTGGTAGTGCCTTACAGGGCTTGCACTTGCAATCTTCTACACTAGAAGAACGTCGTCTTCGACGTCGTTGTAGACTTTCAAGTGTCATAGTGGGACAACACATTTGTAGCATGCGCTCATGTTCATCTATGACCTCAGTAGGACCATTGTCAAAGTGTAGCTGGCGCTTCACCAGCACAAGTTCCGGCGCGTTTTCAACTTCTAAAACTTTTGTGACTTTATCATCCGACAGCTGACCTATAGTCGAATTTGCTGCAATTGGCAACTCTGTAGCAGCACTCAGTTCCATTGGTAGTTCATCAAAGTGCTGTTCCACCGCATCGCCGAGATCATCTACATCATCGTAGAAGTCATGCGGTGGCATAAACTCCTCGGGTCCATACAGCACATCAAATGCAGGCGCTGGCTCACGTTCTATGCTATCTGGTGGACAGCTGCCACTATCTGTTGCACATTCTACCTGGCTGCAGTCATCTTCGAAAGTAACTGTCGGAGTTGAGAAAGAAAAGAAAGGAAATTTTTATTAGAATATATTTCAGTTTGGGAGAGAACTCATAAAAAGTTGTTACGACCAAATTGTGGTAGTTCATTATACCCTGAAGAGGGTATATTAAGTTTGCCACGAAGTTTCTAAGACTCAGAAGGAAACAACACAGACCCTATAAAAATATATACAAGTATAAATACTAAATGTGACGAGCTGAGTCGGTTTACAACGGTACGATATTCAAATTGTATTGGTCTGATCAAAGTAAACGATCACAACCACGTACTTGCATAAAAACTTTTTATTTGTAAAGGGTATTATAGCTTCAATGCAACCGAAGTTAACTGTATTCCAGTAACTTTTCAATCTAGTTCTAGAAAAGTTTAAGTAAACTAGAGAGGCATTTTTTGAAATATTTCTCAAATTAGAGCAACAGTTGCTGCTATCTCTGTCAAAAATTGTGGGTCATCGGGCTTAACGGTACATACTTCATACTTTCTCCTCATTTTCTAAACCTCTCAATAACCTACAAATACATACAAAAAATAGTAATACAACTACACTCTAATAAAGAAACCATCATTGCATTTTGCTAGTTGCATGTACCATGTAGCATGTGGCATGCGGCAAGTGACATTTGTTTACCATGGTCGACCAAGAAGTCATATGAGTAATCTCCTAACGCATGTTTGCTATTTGCTCTGCAACAGAAGCAGCCTTTGCCGAGCAACTATTGTTTTAAGCTCTTCTTCTTCTGCTATGCATGCGCTGGCATTGTTGTTCTCTTGACAGCAAATTGACATTTCAGCTTTGTTGCATGCTGCGGTTGCAAGCGTAAATGTAAACAAACAAATGAGAGAGAGACCTGTATTTACGCAATTTCTTTGATTTTCGTATTTGTTTAGCAACATTATGGATATGTGTGTGCAAGTGTGTGTGGGTTAAGGCTATGTATGTGTGTGTTTGTGACCCGTCTGCATTGCAGCTGATATGCAGATTTGCGTTTGTATGTGTTTACACTGTTATATACATATTTGCAATTCGGTTCGCATACAATCTCCGTGCTCTCTAGCATTGATTAAAGCGCAACAATGCTTTCAAGTACGTTTTGTGGCAAACTAAATACAATACATGCAAATGCAACTTAAACTTGTTTCGATTATTTGCTGCTTTAAAACCTTCGATCTCGTTTGCTGCCATGTGGGTGGTTTCAAAGTTGCACAACTCGCACTTTGGCATTTTGGTTTCCGCATTACCCCTTCCGCTTTACTCTTTAACCATTACACCTTGTGCCCTTACTTGCAATTGTAAATTTTACATTGTTTCTTAATGCCATATTACTTTCTACTAGTTACCCCCCCCTCCCCCCAAATCATAGTCGAATGCAACCTTAAACTGCCTCACATATCTTTTAACAACTTTTCGGTTTGTTTCAAATCTTTTTACAATTGCAGCTTCTTTATTTTCCTTGCGCTTTTCCGAAATGTTACGAAATTGTGTAAATTTACATTAAAGAATTGCTTTGATTAATTATAGACAAAGTGATTTTGTATTCGTGTTTGTTTTGTTTGTTCGAGTATTGAGGTTAGGTTAGACTTAGTTTCTATAGTTAGCTGTGGTTATACGATTACTTGAAGTTTATTTGCGTGTGCTAATTGCTTGACTTTATGACTTTCATGTGTCAATTAAGAAGCACAACTAGTGAGACAGCCTAAAAAAGACTATTTTTGGGAATTAAAAAAATTAAAAAATTGCTGCATAATTTGTTTTAAACATTTAAAAATATATTTATACATATTTTTAAAATATGCAGCAAAATTTTTGAAGATAAATTAAACATTTTTCGAGTTACACTCGATCTCTGAAGGCGTTTAAAGGGTCCTCCACTTCTTTACTTCAGGATATTGTTCGTACAATGACCTACGGTCGAAGAATATAAATCAAAAATTGAAAAAATGAAGGTGGCTGAAATTTTGGCAACATGCGTTTAAGGTAAAACTGATGGATCATTATGAACACATGATTTTAAAACTTGTACACAAAAATGACGAAAACATTGATATTATTGTCTTATCAAGGATTATTTTTACTGCTAAAATCGAGCTTTTTGAAAAACTGAGAAAGTATCAGCACTTATATAACGATTTTGATTATTCAATAATTTTTTCATATATTTATTTATTGAAGACGTCATCGCTGTACTAAGGGCATCGCAAAAGCTTTTAGCTTGACTTTTAGTTCCCTTTTGGAACTGTAGATTAAACTTAAAACCCATAAAAAAGCAACATATACCAAAAAACTGGCGAAGTCCCGAATTTGGTCCATTTAATGTGCACCAAAGATACATTTTATTGGCAAAATATTGATGAGTTCTGTCACAATTTCGTTGCGGGAGTTATTAATTTTTTAGTAGCTGGCAACTCAATTTCAAATTATGTTCAAGTCGAAGCCTCCTTCAAACATTTTCAGCATTACCGCATTTTAGAGAACTTGACCATGCAAAAAAAATTTCAGTTTTATATTTACAACAGGTGGCAACTCTAATTTATTTATTTTCTTAATTATTTCATTAATTGTTTATTGTTTTGCATATTTTTGAAAATTGCACCGTGTAATAATTAAGCTTTATAACAGGTGGCAACTCTAATGTAAATTTTTTTCGAATTTTATTAAAGGTTGCATTTTCGGCAGTTTTTTGAGAATTTCCGGTAAAATATTATATTATTATGCTCAGTTTAACATTTTTTGTTGGGCGGCAACCCTGTTTCAAAATTTGAGTAAATAAAAGTATCCTTAGGTTTTTATTTTGGTACTTTGAGCTTTTTGTGTAGCATATATATATTTTTTTGAAAATAATTTTTACCTGGATTTTTTTTAACTTGGTGGCAACGCTTTATCATAAGAGTTTTAGTGAATGAAATAATAAAGTTCTTGTTCTACATTTGTGAACTTAAATTTCACCTGCAACAATATACACATAACTGTAGATGCATTATACTGATTTGTTTTGCCTACTCAAAGCCATTATCCAAATGCAAATTTCGCGTAGACTTCGAGTTGACCAGTGACAACTACATAACAGTGACACATAAAGTAATTGGAACCAAAGACATAGACGCTGGCAGTGACGTTTCAAAGAAGGGGGTACAGCGAAGTTCGAGAGACATTTAGACAGCAACGCATATATATACAATACATAAACAAAGGTACATATATTGGGGGCATATGCATATGGCTAGGAATGTATCCCACATACATGCGCGACTTTATGGCCACCGCTGAGTTGACGGCGCTGAACAAAAAGCCGCCGACAGATCACACTGAGTGATGTGACCAACAAATTGAGGTCAAGCGGCTGAATTATGATGATGTCACATTGAGACAAGTTGTTGCATATACCACTCAGTTTCTGTACAATGGGCAGCAACAGCAGATAGGGGGATTGTGATTGCGCGAAGGAATATATATTTATACAAGAACCTATGTGCAGCAAGGAGCGAAGTATAAGAACATACAAAAGTCATTATGGTGGGTTTTTTTATGAGATGAGTGTTGGCGTGGATATAGGTTAATAAGTATGCACAGTCTAAGGAGGGAGCTACATGCATAAATGCAAATACTTTTGTGTGTATATGAATACTTTTATGACAAATGACTGTACTTGTATTTTTTACTTGCTTAAAGTGGGGTTGGAAAAATGTCTTTTCATATTTTGCTTCAGATTTTCTGTGATTTTTTTTTATCACTTTTTTATTCTCTCCTTTAGAATGAGTGCTGTAATAATGACTAATATTCGCAATCATATAAATGTGAACTAGTTTTAGACTAGACGAGGTTTTACTGGAGATTTTACATATTCGATTTTAAGTTGAAATAAAGTTTCTTCCTTAAAACTTTAAATTATTGTATAAAAATTCCAAGTTTTCATGAAATAAATTTTTTTTTGGACAAGCTAAAAATTAAAGACATATAAACTTAAATTTTGAGGTTATGTAAAAAAGATGCTAATACAAAAGTTGTAGATCTTTTCATTACCTAAAACTAGCTATATAACATTTTTCTATTGGACTTGCAGTTTTGGCGAAAATCTAGAAAAACTGTTTTTAACCCTTGAAAATTCAACCACACCCCTCTTCCCGATCGCAAATCGCCAGTAAATTATTTTTCCTTTACTCTTTTTATTTTATCTTCCATTTTCAATGTCTTTTAATCTAGTTTTGTCTCTTATCTCGCTCTGCCATATAAGTATATATAAAAGAATAAGTCCTCTCCTTGAGCTTATACCATACATATAGGCCAGCATGAGAGATATCTCAAAATAAATAGGGATATAGGTATATATGTTTTGATGCGAAAAAAGATAATATCGGTCCAAATCTTCACCTAATCAGCAAAAGAGTTTGATCAAATAGCAAGCTTCCATAGGCGGGTTCCCGTATTTCTATCAGTAAAAAGAAAGTATAGATTGAATTCGGTCAATACATTTTTGAATATTTCTTAAATTTCCAATACAATAATTTCTATGTTTCCATATCTCTATATCTCTATATATCGGTAAGCATGAGAGATATCTTCATTGAATATGGATATATAAGTGTTTTGGTCCAAAAGAAGGTGATATCGGTTCAAATTTCCACCTAACCCCCACACAAGTTTTTTTAAGTAGCGATCGTCAATAGCCGTACAATGATAAACCTCATATTTCTATCAGCAAAAAGTCTAAAGTAATGGCAAATCTCATATTTCTAGTTGAAAAAATTTCCTATAAAATCTATTAGGCCTTCAGAGGTTTAAACTTATAGGCCTCACCATTTGTTGAGAAATTTCAAGGTGCTAATGGTAGCAATAGCTCGACCTAATATATATCTATATATCTATATAATGTCTAAATGCCACCATTGCAAAATTGTATTTGAGTTTCAACTCAGAGTTAACAAGCTATAAAACTCAGCAGGTGATGAGCGTGTAAGCTCCTATCTCTGCATATATATTTATATCT